ATCTACTTCTGCTTCATTGACTATGCTAAAGCCTTTGACTGTGTGGATCACAACAAACTATGGCAGGTCCTTAAAGAGATGGGAGTACCAGACCACCTCACATGTCTCTTGAGAAACCTGTATAAGGGCCAAGAAGCGACAGTTAGAACCGGATACGGAACAACTGATTGGTTCAGCATAGGAAAAGGAGTACGACAAGGATGTATACTGTCACCTTGCTTATTTAATATATATGCAGAGTACATCATGCGAAATGCTGGCCTGGATGAATCACAAGCGGGAATTAAGATTGCTGGGGAAAAGATCAACAACCTCAGATATGCAGATGATACCACTCTAATGGCTGAAAGTGAAAAGGATCTAAAGAGCCTCTTGCTCAGAGTAAAAGAGGAGAGCGCAAAAGTGGGCTTGAAGCTCAACATCAAAAAAACTAAGATCATGGCATCCGGCCCCATCACTCCTTGGCAAATAGAAGGGGAAGCTGTGGAAGTAGTGACAGACTTCACGTTCCTGGGATCCCAGATCACCGCAGACTGTGACTGCAGCCATGAAATTAAAAGACGCCTGCTCCTTGGGAGGAAAGCGATGGCGAACCTAAACAGCATGATAAAAAGTAGAGACATCACCCTGCCAACAAAAGTCCGCATGGTCAAAGCAATGGTATTCCCAGTAGTCATGTATGGCTGCGAGAGCTGGACTATAAGGAAGGCCGAGCGCCGAAGAATAGATTCTTTTGAACTATGGTGCTGGAGAAGACTCTTGAGAGTCCCTTGGACTGCAAGAAGAACAAATCAGTCAATCCTCAAAGAAATCAACCCTGACTGTTCCCTGGAAGGCCAGATAATGAAACTGAAGCTCAAATACTTTGGCCACCAAATGAGAAGGGAGCACTCACTGGAGAAGACCCTGATGCTGGGAAAGATTGAAGGTCAAAGAAGACGGGGACGGCAGAAGACAGGAGGGCATGGCGGGATCTGGTCCATGGGATCGTGAAGAGTCGGACTCGACTGTGCGACTGAACAACAACAAAAACACACAGCTGCAAGCCTATGTATTTGGGAGTTAAGTCCACTGAACTCAGCAGGACTCCTGAGTAAACACATAAGCAACTGATGTGACTTTGCAAATGCAGAGAGCATCGATCGCACTGACATTTAACCCACCACCTTTCCTCCAAGGAATCTAGGTGAGTGTACATGAATTTCCCTCCCCTGTTTTATTTTCAAAACAATCCTGTCAGGGTGGTTATTATGAACCTTGCCTAACTTTGAATCAATGGAAACAGAAAGGCACCACAGAGTTCCAATTTTAAAGCAAACACTTTGTGTATGTTCTCACAACCTCGACTGCCACATAGATCTGCACTCTATTCACAACAGGGTGGGAAATCAATTGTGTAAAAGGGGACCTACACCAGCCCTGTACACCCAATACAGTGAACAAGTGTACATCCTGAATGTACACAGATTTGTAACAAGCAGCCAATGCACATTTTGTTTGAAACTAAAACCAGGCAGCCAGTGTGGTATTGGGGTTGGAGTGTCAGACTAAGATCTGGAAGACCCAGGTTGGTGACCTTGGGCCAGTCACACACTCTCAGCCTAACCTACTTCACAGGGTTGTTGTAAGAACAAAATGGAGAATGATGCAAGCCGCTTTGGGTCCCCATGGGGGAGAGAGGTAGGGTATAGGAGAAGTAAATAAATAAATACCTGGGAAAATGTGGGTTTTAAGTCGTACATATAGCCATATCTGTGCTGAATGCAACATAATTATTCCATATCCATACAAAAGAAAACAATTGTGCATACACTGTACAAAAATGGTACATGTGTTCCTTGCAACATGTGTACAGACCTACTGCCATGTTGCAAGCTTAACTGTGTGCTCTATTTAGGGTGACGCTGACGACAGTTGACCCTTACCCCTATCAACAGCCTCAATTCCTACGCCACTGAGGCTGCAACCTAAGAACACCTTCCTTCAAGTAAGCTCCATTGAATTAAATGGGACTTACTTCTGAGAAGGCCTGTTTAGGAATAGTTCCCAAGCGTGCCTTACTCAGGCATCGCATCCCTACCGGAGCCTTGCCCGACCGGGCCTTCCAGGTGTCCTAGCAACGCACTCCGGAGGTGGTCTTCGAACCGAGGTAACCTAGCAACACCGCCCGGGGGCGGGGCTTGCCCTGCGTATCTTAGCAACGCCTGAGAGAAGGCTGAGAGTTGTTCACCTGGGGAAGCCGCCGCAGCTCCTCGCGCTCCCGCAAGGCTCCTCCGCCTCCTCCTCGCTCATTCCCTCCTCCTGCCCCGCCGCCGCCACCACCGCCACAACGCCTGCCGCCCTCCAGCCCCGCTTGCAATGGCCGGGCGAGAGGAAGCGACGGCCCCCTACCGCCTCCCAAGCTCTGCCAGGCATCTCGGAACCTGGAGTCCACGCGAACACCTTGTCCACAGGACGGCATAGGCTAAAGGACTGCATATCCCATGATGTCTCGGGGCTTTGTCTCCGCGTGGAGGCCCAGACGGGGTTCCCTGTACCTTTGCGTGCGCTGTTCCCAATGCACGCTGGGAGAAAGAGTCTTCTTGTGATTGGTGGATTTTATTTAACGAAAAGATAAGAAGGGAGAAACTGCTATATAAGTAAATAAATCTCTCACGCACATACAGAGTTCACAACCCAGTGAGCAAACGTTCCAGATCTCTTATCAAACTTGATGTTCAGTACAAAAAACATTGAAGATGGTTGCCAACTCTTGAGTTGAGAAATTTCTGAAGGTTTTGGAGTGGAGCCTGGCGGCAGTGGGGTTTGGGAAGGGGAGGGATTTCATTTGGGTATAATGCCATTTTCTTCAAGAGAACTGATATGAGTTGTCTGTAATCCCAGGAGATCTACAAGTACCACATGGAGGCTAAAAGAAAAAGAGGTTTGAGGTCATGATGAGAAGTACCAAGTCTGCTGTTTGTACTGTTAAAAATGGAATCCAGCTATGCTTGCCAACCCTCAGGTGGGGCCTGGAGATCTCCTGGAATTTTAACTGATCTACAGACTACAGTGACCAGTTGTCCTGGAGAAAATGGCCACTTTGGAAAGTTGAGTTTATGGCGTTATACCCCATTGAAGTCCCTCCCCAAAGTCCCTCTACCCTTATTTAGAATTTTTACAATTTTCTGTCAGCTTTGCAAAAATAGTTCCCGTATCTCCCGACTCCAATTATAGCTCTGCTGATTTAGTTCTGTTCTCAGACATACTCAGCTCTGTTCCCAGACATCTTACCCTCTTAGCTAGTCTACCACATCCTGTTTTATAGTTTGTGTTATATTTAGCTTGCCCAAGATTTAGCTCACCTAAGCTGCGTACAGCACTGTTAAGAAACAACATTATCTAACATGCTTTAAGATTTGAGATGACATGGCTCTTGCCAGCTTGCCTAAAGGATTATTCGGCCTGAGCTGCTCAAAAGCATTTAAAATGGATTCAGTCTTGCTACCTTGCCCATCACAGTCAACTGGTTTTCTGCCTCAAAAAAATGATGCAAACATTATAGAAACACCTCAAGAAAATCAAATAGAAAGAAAGCTAGCACGGACAGCAGACTGTCAGACTAGGTCCTGGGACAACCTCTGCCTTAGAAGCTTGGTGAGTGATCTTGGGCCCATCACAATCTCTCAGCTTCACTTCTCTCACAAGTATGTTGTTGTGAGGATAAAGTGGAGCCAGGGAGCTGCTTTGGGTCCCCACGAGGGAGAAAAGTGGGATATAAATTGTAGTGTATCAAGTCCTGACAAGTCCAGACATGTCCAGGGACAACCGTCGAGCTTCGCTCCGAAAGACAATGGACTATGCGGATCCTAGCCCCCTCCAATCAGGGGGCTGGGTTCCTGGCCAAGAAGCCAATGGGACTCTCAGCCACTGTAAATAACCTATTGGGAAGTGGCGGGGGGGTGTTTTGGGTAGCGGTTTCTGGGGAAATATAAACCGGCCTGCGAGCCGGCCAAAGTTATCTTGTTCCTGATTGAATAAAGTATGCTTAGCTGAAATCACTCTCTGTCTGCGTACTTTTCAAAATAATAAACAGAGCTTCAACAACAAACAGAACTCTGTTCCAGAACAGCTATACGCCCTTGGCCTAGGTGCACATGAAAGCTTATACCCAGAATTAAACTTTGTTGGTCTTAAAGAGGCCACTGGACTCAAACTTTGCTCTATTGCTTCAGACCAACCTGGCTACCCACCTGAATCTAGCCCCATTAAGTCACCCATGTTTTCTCGGAGGTAAGTTCCTCTGACTTTCATGAGATTCATTCCCAAATAAGAGTGTGGACTCCGTTTTGGATCACAAGTAAAATATAGTTCAGTGCATAGAGCTTGATTTGTTCACAGTGATGCCTTTCTTAATCTTGCTTAGACCACGTCTCAAGTTTACATCTGCCTTTGAAATGGCAACTTCTCTTCCTTTCAATTAGGAATGGGTTCGGGAGCTACTCAGGCCACTTGTATATTATGCAATGTACTGCAGTTCTTTGCCTAAGTGAGTCCCAGTGGGCCTTACAAGAATACGTGCATAGGATCGCACTGCAAGTTTACCTAAGCCTCAGATTCTAGCGCAGCTCTACTGCGCTCTCGGCAAAATTTAGCCAATTACAACCACGCCTCCTTAACCGTAGCCTGGGACTCAAGGGGATTAAACTACGCCGGCTCCCAAGACCAAGTAACCAACGGGTATCAAAACTACATTACCCATAAACGCGCGAAAGAGCGAAGGCGATAACCCGATTGGATTCCTGGGCTGCCTTTCTCGGAGCTCTTTGGCTTTGTTCCCTCAACTAAATCCTTGACCAATTCCCATTCTGATTGGTCCCTTCTTTGGTTTGTCCCCCCGCCCAGCCACCCTAGCGTCCAATTGCCTGTTTTCCCTTTGGCCTCACTCGCCCCGGACCCGCCTCCATCCTGTTGTGTGATTGGTCCAACCTTACCGGCGCAGAGCCGTAATTGGCTAAACTCGGCACACCGGCGATGTCAGTAAGCCGTGCTGGTGATGGAGGGAGCGCTGTTGAAATGGACCAACTACCTTTCAGGTGAGTGTAGGTCCTCAAGTGGGTCCGATTTCGCCCTGTTGTCTTCCCGTTACCTGGTAGTGCAGGCCTTTAGGGCTCAAAAAAACCTTTCCCGTATCCTAGCAACATAGCTGTTCCATAGGTAGGGACTGGTCTCCTTCCTTCCACCCACATTCCTAAATCCCCCTAGATATTTTCTTTTTCCTTGCAAGATCTGTCCTCAAGTCTTTCTCAAAAGGAAAAGTCACATTCTCTCCTCTTCCCCCCCCCCCCAGATAACCAGATAGTGGTTATTGTTCTATTGCTTTCATGATTAGATAAGGGCATTTATTTATTTTAAATTATTTCTTGGAGTCTTCTGTGTTAATGAAGCTGAATGCTATATAGATAGATAGATTGAAAGCTCCAAATATAAAACAAAATAGGCATGAAGGAGAAGAGCAGTGGAGTTAAAAACAGCGACTTAGAAATTGCTGGGTTGTGGGGGGGAGTTAAGCACGGGGATTATGCATGTTGATCTGGGCAAGTAAATAAAGTTTACACCTGGTAACTGAAGCTTAGTAAACTAGGCACCAAGAAAGCCACTGCAGTTAGAATGTTCTGGCACTGAGGTGCCACCACAGAGAAGTCCTTTCTTTTTTGTTGCCACTTGCTTTACCTCGGAATAGACACAAGGCCCTGATGCCAATTTTAACTGAGGGGCAGGTTTGTGTAGGAGTAAGCAGTCTTTCAAGTGTCCTGATCCTAGCCTATTTGGAGTCTTATAGGTAAGAACTATGCCATTAAAGTGGAAATGTGGGAAGCAGGATACATTTGTATACATTCAAAGGAAGGGTCACTTTTAGGGATTTTTTTTGTTAACCAAGCCATGTGTGCTGACCTCTCAGGCCTCCTAGGCTCAATGCGAACTAGCAACTTTTAGGGATCTGAGCCCAAACAAAAAGCCTCTCTGGATGTGTTCCTTGATCTATGCATGGAGGCTCAGTTGATTATTCTTTTCACAGAGGGACTACTTGGCTTACTATAGGCAAGCCTGGCAAACACAGGCCAATAGATGTTTGGATATATTAGTCTCTCTCTTTCTCTCTCTCTCGCCTCAGGTTGGCAGCCACGATACTTTGTGCTGGAGAATGGCATCCTTTCGTATTACGACTCGCAGGATGATGTGGGCAAAGGAAGCAAAGGCAGCATCAAGATGGCTGTGTGTGAGATCAAAGGTAGGCTGAGTTAATGTTGGGGGAGGGGACTCACTCTGTATCCGCTGCAAAGGTCTGCAACTTTGGCATTGAGAGAGCTGGGCTACTTCAGAATTCAGAGTGAGAAATCAACAAAAGAGAGAGTTTTGCTTAACTGAAATTGTACCATTTAATATTATTGGTAATTGACATGTTGTTGCATAATCCATAAAGCTTCCACAGCCCAAACACTGGTTGTTGTGAGCTCTTTATCAGGATGTAGCACACACAAGGTCTTGCAATACACTGAAGCACCCTGCACAATTGTTTTAGCATGCTAGCAGAAATCTGTGCACAATGAGTTCTGGGGTTACTGGTAACTGTTCACCTTTATCAATTTTCTTTTCTGCAAAAAGTCTCAAAGAGACTACCTAGATGTTACAAACTGCACAAGTTTGCCATCAGGATTTGCAACTATACAGTAGCTGTGTCCCAGTGGTAACATACAAGTAAACATGCTGAAGGGTCCGGTTTGGATTGGGACCGCTGCATGGGTGAAAGAGGAATTCCTGCCTTCTCCCTGTACTGCTTTCAGTGACAGAAACAGCCTAGGGGCTGTTACTTTCTCTGTGGGGAGCTGACTCTAGCTTCCAGCAAAGCAATTAATGACACACACCCCCAACAGCCCATGGGCTATTTCAGTCACCGAAAACAGTGCAGGGGAGAAGGCAGGAATTCCTCCTTTTCTCTGTGCAGTGGTTCTGATCCAAATTAGGCTTCCACTCCATGTTTACACACAAGTTGCCACAGTATAGCAGCAAGTCTCCCAGACAAACTTGTGCAGTTTGTAAAGTCTATTTAGGCTCTAAGAACCTTTTATTTGCATACAAATATTTGCCTGCCATTCTGTTCAAATACCAATTACTCTAGCACCCCACCCTTGTACATACTTGGGCTTAAAGACTTCCTTTTCTTCCTTTAATAGCCATCTTCAGTTCTATTTGTCTGTAGAGCCATCAGTTGCAGACCTCCTGGTCTACAGACATTTGGGTATGTGGAAGACAGGCCCAAGAAGACTGATTTGTTTTTGAGTCTCAGATTCTACAGGCTCCTCCATTCTAGTACATGCTCCCTCTGCAGCAGTTTTACTCTGCTTCTTCCCCAGCTTCAGGTGTCACCTGCTCCCTTTCCATGTAAGGCCTGGGCTGTACATTGATAGAAATGGGCTGATCTATTGATATGGGAACCGTCAGTGATTGTATCCCCAGAATCTTTTGGGTAGTGCTGAATCTGGCGTACTCTTGGCTGCCCCCAATTCATCCGAAGCATATATTCCAAGTTGCTCACCTCTTGTGGGTTAGTTACTCTTTAGCCTTCCCAGTACTTTCAAAATCAGACTAAAGCAAAAGTGGGCACCTAGTTCTGCCTCTGGGTGTTGTCATTAGGGTTGCCAATCTCCAGGTGGCACCTGGAGATCTCCCAACCAAGGTCAGGAGGAAATGGCTGCTTTGCAGGGTTGACTGTATGGTATCATGCCCTGCTGTGGTCCCTTCCCCCCCTCTCAAGCTCCACCCTCAAAATCTCCAGGTATTTCCCAACTCAGAGCTGGCAACCCCAATTATCATTGACCTGATAGAGACTTCACGTGGTGGTAGTTAACACAAATTGCAAAGGTGTGTGTACTCACAATCTTGTGTACTCAGAATATAGGGTAACAGAGTCACTGACATTTTAGCTTTCACTGTCTGTTTTGGTGTTTCTGATTTTTCCCCCCTTCATGTAGTGCACACTACTGACCCCACCCGTATGGAACTGGTCATCCCCGGTGAACAGTACTTCTACCTGAAGGCAGGAGGGGCTGCTGAAAGACAGAAATGGTTGGTGGCCCTGGGCAGCTCCAAGGCCTGCCTTGGGGACAGCAGAAGTCAAAAAGAGAAAGGTTGGTTCTTTAGAAATGCGTCAGCTGCGTTGAGGGAGCTTAAAATAACAGGGATTGTGTGTAGAGATTAGGGAGGGTGTTGGCAGAGATAGACACAAATGAAGTGAGGATTATCATCCTGATAAACTGAGATTAGGCTGAATACCTCTCTTCCTTGGCCAACCTCTGTGAGCCTGTTCAGTTGTTTGTATTGTGTTTTGGAGATAACTTGGAGATAATTTTCAACATAATTTGAGTCTGAGTTTCCTATGTTTCATCCTTGGCTGATTCAGTGAGAAGAAGGAGTGAAACTGGATTGTACACTTGCTCTCTCTCTAGAAATAATGTGGATTTCCTTCTTTTTTTAAAAAAAAAATATGGATATCCAAGGAGATAGCCATGTTCCAAAAGAATGAGAGATAGCCTAGCTATTCACGTGCAATTCATACATGGCTGAAATTCTCCACCGATGTATGAAAATGTCCTCGGTGTAAGCCATTAAACAGGCTCAATCTGTTGGTTAGCTGTGTGATCTGCAGCAGGCCCAGGGCTATTTTTGGGCAGGAACGCACAGGAACGGAGTTCCGGCTGGCTTCAGAGTTGGCCACACCCACTACAGCCAAAATCTGTACGTGCGTGGCTACAGAGGGAAGGCCTGGAGAGCGACACCCCCCCCCCAGTGACTCCAAGGCGGATGGGCCGGGGGGGGGGGGGGGTGGAGGTATCCCAAGCCAGAGCTGACAATCTTACAAAGGGCACTGCAGGGAGGGTAAGAGTGGGTGGTTTCACCTCTAGCAAGGAATGGCCTAATATGCTAATGAGCTGTGCTGTCAGGGTGTGGCCTAATATGCTAATGAGTTTCTGCTGTTGGGTGTGGCCTATTATGCTAATGAGTTCCTGCTGGGCTTTTTCTACAAAAAAAGCCCTGGGCAAAGCTATTCTGGTTGCAAAGTGGTGATACATTCTTTGCAGGGATCTTCAGTGCTAGCGTGGGCATACAGACCCAAGTTCCTGGGGGTCACTTCATTGTGTTTACCAGAGAAAAAGTTTTGTCTTAATCTTGCGATTCTGTGCTGTTGTGTTTTAACTCATTCTCCCTTAATTGGTTACTGTCTAATTCCCTCTTAGCCCTTCTTTTGTCACTCCGTGCCACAGAGCGCCTCTCTACACTCCATATTGCGCTTTCTGTCTGCACCCCCATCTGTTACCTGCCTTGGTTTCCCCCCCTTTGTATTTTTGCTCTGTTTCTGTTCCCCCTTCTGTACTTCATTTTGCTGACCTTGACAGCAGTCCTTCACATAGGTGTCACACGTCCAGCAATTCACATTGGCACATTCTTCAGTCCTGAATAGGGCTGCCAAGTGGGGGTGGGGAAACCCCCGCTTTGGAAGCCCGATTTCCGCCAGGGCGGAATCGGGCCCTGGGGGGAACTCCGCCCCCGAAGCCCGGGCGGGGGCGCCGGGGGGGGCGCCGCACGACGTAGGGCACATTGGGGGCGTGGCCCAGATCGTCGGGGGGGGGAACCATATGCTTCCCCCCCCCAACGATCTGGGCCATGCCCCCAACATGCCCTATGTCGTGCGTCTCTTCCTGTGACGTTCTGGCGGTGCACGCATCCCTCGGCAGCTCCCGGACAGAAGGAACGCTCCCCTGCCAGTGAGTCATGCCGACTTAGCAACCCTAGTCCTGAAGTATGGCTCGTTGTTAACAAAGGCTGGAAAAATAGTAATCAGTTCCACCACGGGGGCCAGGCAGGGGATAGAGAGAAAGATCAGTGCATCAGAGGATGTAGTGATGGCCACAGGAATAAACAACTTTAAAAAGGGATTCGATAGATTCAGTCTATCAGTGACTACTAGCTGTGGTGACTGAGGGGAACCTCTATGTTCAGAGGCACTAAACCTCTGGATCCCAGGTCCTAAGGGGAAGGTCTTGGCCTCTATATCCTGTTGCTGTTCCTCCAGAGGAACTGGTTGGCCACGGTGTGAGACATGAGTGGATGCTGGACTAGATGGACCACTGGTCTGATCTATCAGGGCTCTCCTTATGATGTAATGAAATGGATTTTCCTCTACCCTCATACTGCTTTGAGAGGGCTGGGGGGAAACCTTAGAGGTCCTCGCAGCGATTCAGCATTGCAGCTGGCACTGAGAATTCGCCACAGAGGGTCACAATAAGGCAGCCTCATGTTGTGGTGTTGTGTTTAAGTTAATATAATTCCCTAGATAACATTTGCTTTTATTTGGTAGCTGGCTAAAGGCCTGACTGGTATAACAGGTGGGGGGAGGGAGGGCAAGCCTTTTCTCAACCCCCTCCCCTTCCCTGCATATATTTTTCTGCTTCTCATCCAGTGGGGATGAATGCCATCCATATGTGGGAAAGTGAAGGTGTGTACACCCTCAAGGCAGTGGCTAAACCTGCCCTAGTACATTACCAGATCCTGGCATGGAAGGCAGGTTTTGCCCCCTCTCAGCTGTGCCCCAGATGGCAGCTCATTTTCTTAGTCTCCTAAAACACTTCAAAGGCATTGCTGAGGATGAAGCCTGGTCCCCTCTGCACAGCTTGGCCCTAGTTTCTGTTGCTTGGTCATCCCAGGATGTGATGGAATGTTGAGGAGTGGCTGGAATATTGAGGGATGCTATGCTATGCAGAACTTCTATGAAGTTTTGATGTTTATTCTGAAGAGTTCTGTGTTTGGCAAAACCTGGAAAGAAAAAGAGAAACTGAAAAAACTAGAGGAGTACTGAAAAACTGGACTGTTGCTCCTGAGCCAGTTCTTTTTTGGCCCCACCAGACTGGGTAGATCTAGGGCTTGTTTGCACAAGGATATCCGGGCTTGTTAAGGGTGCTATTATCTTGAATCAACAATGTCTATTTACCAAGCCAGAAACCCCTGGGTGTTTTAAGCCCCACCCCTTGGATCATTTTCTTAGTTCAGTTCAGCTCACTCTGCAGTAACTGGAGTCAGTCTTAGCTGTTATGATGCTTACAGACTAGTCTAATGCAGAATACTGAAATATGCCACTTTCTTCTTGACCCTGCAAGGGTTCATATTTATTCAGCTTGGTTACATGTATTTATTATTTACTTTGTTCTCTTCACCTGCATTTTATCTTCCCCACAACGCTGTAAGGTAGCTAGGGATGAGGAAGTGTGACTGGCCCAAGGTCACCCAGCAGGCTTCCAAGGCAGACTGGGGGTTTAAACTTGGGTCTCTCCAATTCTAGTCCTACATGGATGGGAGCTGTGGCACAGCCTTACTTAAACACAAATTCTACTAGGGTAGTGTCATGATCTGTGTAGGTCTGGGAGAAAGGCCTAGAGGCCTGTGTGGGCGTGGAGAGCAGACAGCCTACAACCCCCACAATGCTTAGCAACAGTTGTAGCCAATCAGTGTACAGAGGTTGGGTGAGGAAATGGAACTTAAGCTTTGAGGGCTGAAAAACTGTGTTCTTTCTCTTCTGCGGTCTTGTCTCACAGAGCTAAACTGAGGGGACAGTCTGGTCTGAGGAAAAGATCCCTCACTTGGGACAGAGTGAGTACAGGCAGGAGGTCTGGAATAAGAGGGCTGTGGGCCTGGAAATAGTAACTAGTTAAGCAAAATAGGTAGTCACATTAGATTTGATTATTTTGCCTTTAAACACTGTTATATATTTTAAGCACCTTGTCTTGTTTTCAATGCCCCATTACTGTGTTAATAAACCCTTTGTTTTATGTTCTCTGCCTGGTCATCACGGCTTAAAAGGGGCATTTTGGTTGGGCTTGGGAGGGTACTCTGAGCCTTTCCAAGGGACCCTAAGTCCAGAGTGGTGGCAGACGAGGGTGGTGACCCACGGGGGGGTCATGACAGGTAGTGGAAGGAGATGACAGTGGAGTGGTAGAATGAATGACAGGCTATGGATAGGAGGTCCAGCTTTGAATGGTTCTTTGCGAGGGGGGGGGATCCATGCTAATAGGAAAGTTAGCACAGCAGGAAGAAAGCTTCTATATCTCCCCTCCCCCATTTTCTGTTTGCTTTCTTTGCTGGTGTTCTACTTGCAAGGAGGTTTAGTCAACGAGAATGTTCCAAAAACATGATCCTCCTGCTGCCATTGGAAATGACGCAGTCCGTATTCTCCCACCTTAGGTCTCTGCCTTTTCGTTCCTCTGCAGGTGTGTTGGGGGGGGGGCTTTTTCTGTGGCCATAATAAACAAAAGCGGGAGTTGTCACCTCTTAAAATTGTTTCATTTATTTATGTTTAACTTGTGCTGCAACAAATCTGTTACTCTTTAAGGTATGATAGGACTCCTTTTTGAGTCTTGTTGCATGCACGCATAGACCATCCCCAAACCCACAACCTTTGCTGATGCCCTTTGAGTTCCTTCTCCTGAGATCAGGGCTCAAGAGGCTGCTGTTGCTATTTACTGTCCCATGCCATATTGCAAGCACGCTGAGCAACTGTTCTGTGATTTACTTGCACCCTGACATACGCTCATTGCTTCCTTCTTACCTTTTGGAGACAGATGAAGATGGGTAGCCGTGTTAGTCTGTCTTGTAGCAGTAGAAAAAAGCAGGAGTCTGGCAACACCTTAAAGACTAACAGAATTTGTGGCCACGCGTGAGCTTTTGTGAGTCACTGCAGTGACTCACAAAAGCTCATACCTTGCCACAAATTTTGTTAGTCTTTAAGGTGCTACTGGACTCTTGCTCTTTTCTTACCTTTTGTCTTTTGTTGTTCTTAATAAATAAAAATGTTTGGTCTAAATCATCTTGTAATTATATGTAATGTGTTTTATAGTAGCTGTTTGTACGTTTGGCTTAAGGCCTCAGGTCAGTGAAGCTAATCAATGAAAGGAAAGGTTCTTCACAAACAGCCAAATGTGTCCTGGAAAGATGCTGGGAGGGAAGAAGCCCGTCTCTGGCTGTTGTGAGATTTGGAAAGTTGACGGAGTCCAGGATTTTGGCCTTCAAATATAGATGTAAAGATGCCCAGCACTGGAAAGGGCACCCAGTTGCTCCACAAGCAGCCCCTAAAAGGGCACTGGCAGTATTTGCATAAATCCATGTGTGCGTGTGTCTTCTTCAGATCTGGACCTAAGCCATGAGTCCTTGGGGAGGAAGCTGTCTGAACTGCGGCTGTACTGTGATGTGCTGACGCAGCAGGTCCTGGCTGTGCAGGAGGCAACACATCCCCAAGACAACGGCTCTCCGCTTGACATTCAGGTGGGGACATCTCTTGAGCTTGTGTGTTTGGACTGTTCCACGCTCTAGTTCCGTGCAGCATGGCAAGAAGGCATACCTTGTATCGTTTTTGAGCAAAAGGCGATCTTTGTCTTATCGGGGTGCCAAAGTAGCAGAGAACGGCAGTTGGTGAGGAGACTCCCGGAGCGGCCTGTGCCTGTCGTCTCCTCCCAGACTGTGCAGATGCTGCCATGGCCAGGGTCCAAAGTGGGCTTCTGAGATGCTGCATCTGGATCCTACCATCCACCTGGTAGGGGCAGCTTGGGAGGAAGGTGGCTTGGGGCAGGAAGACGAAGCATCCCAGCCTGGAGGAAGTCCGAGGGCAAATGCCCCATTGTTATTGCAGTGCAGGGTATTAACGGGTCGGAGTCCAGTGCATAATCCTAATGTCTAACAGTTGTATTCAGAGAGGTTTCTGGAGTGTCGGAGGCAGTGATAGACGAGCAGCCTCTATGTTGCAGCTATGTGACTCTGTTGCAGCCCAAATACCCAAGAGTCCTGGCTGCACCTGAAGGATTAATGAATGTAGCTCTTATGACCTAAAGCCGATTTGTTTGTTTGTTTAATTTGTATCCTGCCTTCCCTGCCAAGGCAGGCTTAGGGCAGCTTACAGAATATATATACATACATACATATATACATGCATACATACATATATATATAGACACTGAGATATGTTAAAACTGAAAATTTAAAATCAAAACACAACATATATATGTATTTGTTTAATTACTTATTTACATTGTTTATAGTCCACCTTTCTCACAGGGACTCAAGGCGTGTTACAGATAGTGAATCAGTGCAGTCGGATTTTAGAATCGAAGCACCAGAAAGAACTACAGCATAACATAAGTACACACGAGCAATGTTCCCTCTAAACTGTGGAGTCTTGTGAGCAAAAATTCTACTGTGTGAACTACTGGCATTAAAGTTGTGAGCTATAAATACTAATTATAAATGGCCCAATACAATTTCTGACCCACTTTGCTGAAGTTTACCAGCCATTTACGGTGACCCACCAGAGCTCAACAAACCTCCTTTTTGTGTTGCCTGGTCCAGACTATAAGGGGGGGGGGTACACAGCTGATGGGCAGTGTTCCCTCTAAGCTGAGTTAGTGTGAGCTAGCTCACAGTTTTTTAGCCTCCAGCTCACACGTTTTTTGCCTTAGCTCAGGAAGGATGGCTCCAGAGCAAATGAATTTATGCAGCAGCCAAATTGCTCACTCACAACTTCAATGCCAGTAGCTCACAAAGTAGAATTTTTGCTCACAAGACTCCACAGCTTCAAGGGAGCATTGCATGAGACCTTAAGCAGTATAGAAAGTACATAAATAGGATCCTACTTGTGATAAGTTATACACAGCATTTGTTATTAATAATAATAATAACGACTTTTATATCACTCACCCCACAGAGCAGGCTCAGAATGGTGTACAACATTTTACATCAAAGCATAAAAACAATCCATTAATCTAAATATCCAGATAAAATACAGAAATCTTAAAACAATAGGTGGTATATACAAAAACATAAAATCTATATGGCGTCACAGTACAATTTTAACCCCCGATGGCAGGGGAGAGGCAGCTAATTGCCAAGCCATTGCTGTCCACTCTGGGGTCAGGAAGCAATTTTTCTCTGTGCCAGTTTGGCCAGGGATCCTGGAGGTTTTTTGTCATTTTCTGAGTATGGAACAGGGGTTCTTGGGGGGGGGGGAGGGATTTGTGAATATCCTGCATTGTGAGGGGTCGTGGGGGGGGGGGGGAGGTATTTGTGACTATCCTGCATTGTGCAGGGGGTTGGACTAGATGATCCTGGAGGTCCCTTCCAACTCTATGCTTGGCGGAACATCTCTGCCTTACAGGCCCTGCAGAACAGTAACCAGTCCCACAGGGCCCTGGTATCATTTGGCAGAGAGTCCCACCAAGCCGGAGCCAGGGCTGAGAAGGCCCTGGCTCTGGTTGAGGACAGCCGGATGCTTTTTGAGCCAGGGACTTCCAGCAGATGTTGTTCTCCTGAACGCAGTGCTCTCCGGGGGAACATACCAAGTATAGACCACAATCCCAATTATTCATCCAGATAAGCTTGTGAACCATTTTGTATAGTGCAACCCGATTAACCTGCGCAAAAAAGCCCTCTTGAATAGTTCAGGTTTGCAGATGGCCAGGGGAGTGGGAGCTTTCTTGACCTCCTTGGGCAGGCTGTTCCACAAGACGGGAGCCACCATGGAGAAAGCCCATGCACAGGCAGTTGTTGATGTTGCCCATTTGCAGGTTAACACCTGCAGAAGTCCAGATCAGATAAGAGGCAGGAATACTTTGGTTGCTGGGGTGGAAAACCCACAAGATACTTCCCCTCCCACAAACATAACATGAGGCACTATCCACCAGGAAGTTCTGTGCAATTCTGGTTTAAGAAGAAGAAGAAGAGAAGAGATTGTATTTATACCCCGCCCTTCACTCGGAGTGTCAGAGTGGCTTACACGCTCTTTTCTCTTCGCCTCCCCACAACAGACACCCTGTGAGGTAGGCGGGGCTGAGAGAGCTCTGAGAGAACTATCCTTGAGAGAACAGCTCTGACAGAACTATAGCTTGCTCAAGGTCATCTAGCAGCTGCAAGTGGAGGAGTGGGGAATCAAACCCGGTTCTCCCAGATTAGAGTCCACATACTTAACCGCTACACCAAACCACTACATCAAATCAAGCCAATGGACAGTTCTCATTCATTTAGGGGGGGGGGGGCTTGTACATCTCCCCCTGCTGCCCCCCCAGTAGCACCCAAAATTTGATGTCTTGCCATTTCTGAAGAGGAGCAATCACAGAGTTGGGGGCAACCACAAATCTGACAGCCCACCACATGGAAGGTTCTCCCCATCACCACCGCCACCAAATCACCCTTGAGAGCTGAATGCCCTACATGGAGGCAGGGTGCCCCACATAATGGTCCCAGCAGGTATATGGTTCCGGATTATTTGCACCAATTGATCCAAGCCCTTAAACTTGGTGGGGGATGTGCTAAAAACCTGATCTGGTTATTAGGCGGTTCTGTCTTCCTTTTCTCATTGGGTTTTGCTTGGGGGGGGAAGCATTCAGTAAATATCAAAAGACTGGTGATGAGTTGGATTGGCACAGGAGGGTGGGCTGTAGCAGCAAAAGCATGTTTTTGAGCAGAAGGGCAGGAACAATGATTCAGTTCTCATGGCAATGTTGGAAAAGTACCATAAGCCAGTGGGCTGCCACTGATTTGACTATTAGAATAAGTTAGCACCCTTGGTTCTCACAGTAGCAGCTCTGGGGCTCAGCCCTGTGCCTTCCCCAGGGGCATAAGTGGAGGAGGGGAATTGTTTGTCAGTATTGCGGCTGTGATCCTGTAGTCCCAACTTCCTTTAACCATACCCATTTATCTGTGTCCCCACCCAGACCTGGAGGCAATGACAACATCAGTAGCCCTCACATTACTGGAACAGGGTATTGAGGTGTAATGGTTAGCGTGTCAGACTGTGATCTTGGGAGATCCAGGTTCAAGTATCCACACTGCAATGAAGTCTGCTGGGTGACCCTGAGCCAGTCTTTATCTAGGCCCAACCTACCTCGCAGGATTGTTGTGAGGATCACACGGAGAAAAGGAGAACGGTATACACTGCCTTGAGCTCCTTGACGAAAGGGCAGGATAAAAATGTACTCGAGAGAGAGAGAAGAGAACACATCGGTCTCTCTGCTTTAATTCATTTATACCCTGCTTCTCCCCCCCCCCCCCGACCCAGAGGGCCTTACATCATTCTCTGCTCCTCCATTTTATCCTCACGACAACCCTGTGAGGTAGGTTAGGCTGAAAGAATGTGTCTAGCCCTAGGTCACCCAATAAGCTTCCATGGCAGAGCGAGGATTCCAACCCAGATCCTAGTCTGACACTGGTTGCAGAATGTTTGCACCAAATGATCCAAGCCCTTTAAGCTTGGTGGGAGGAGGTGATAAAAACCTGATCGCCTGAAGAAAGATCTTCCAGAACAGCATCCACTGGGTTCCACTCGTAGACTTGGCCAGAGTTGCTGTGTTCCCAGGGCATGGAGCGCAGCAGCTCTTGGGGATGTGGGTGGCAGTCACTATATGTCTGAACTACCACTGAGCTTCATGCCTGTGTCAGTTCGGCTGGCCTCCTTCACAGCTGCTGCTGGCTTGCCTCAAAACCCTGATTGCATGGAGGATTTCAGCTGTGGCATCTAATCCCTAACAGTTGCTTGGGAGTGGGATCGGCATGAGATAGGACTGGGGTTTAGCAGACAGAGCTGAGCCTGCTGGCGTTCCTGCCTCCCATTCTAGCAGAACATAGAGTATGCTTTTGACCGATGGAGTTTGTGCTCCAGAATGGAGGGGGTGGCGGGAGGGAGCCAGCAGCCCCGCAGCCTGTTCCTGCCTGCCTCGCTGTGGTTAAGTAATCAGAAACCTTATGTTTGCACCCGCCCGCCCACCTTTCCTCCAAGTGGGATTCTTCACCAACCTGGGTAAAAATCCTGGGTGAGCAAGGACCCTCGCAAGCCTTAGCTGTGGTGTTGGCCCTGCTATCCCTCTTAAGTGCAGTTAATTCAGGAGGCCAGAATTCACCCTGAAAAGAAGCTGAGTGCCTGCTCTCTGAAGAGATCCCTGAAGTTAGGTCTTGGGACCAGTTCCAAGATGGCCTTTCTTCCTTAATTTTTGCATGCAGAGTCATATCTCTGAAAGCGCCTTTAACTGGATCCTGAGGAGCTAACAGATGCATGGGAATGCGAGCAGCACTGTTTCAGCAACCAAAAGTTTGGATTGGTCCTTGGGTCAAGGCTCTTTAAGTCTGGCTCCCTCCAGAACTGTGGTTCTGAGGATCAGAATAACCATGCAGGCTCTTACCCACTTTCTTTATGCTTGGCTCCCCCAGAAGATGAATGAAGCGTCATCCTTATTGCGGGCTACCTGCAGCCAGTTCATCTGCACACTAGAAGAATGCATGAAATTTGCCAACACCCGCTTGGCTCCTGAACTCTACCATCCTTCGGTCCCCCAACCTTCTGATTTCGTGGGCACCAAACTCCCACATTCCCATCGGGTATGTTTTTGTTTCTTCGTTAGTTTGTTCGTGCACAAAATATAAAAAGGGTGGACCATAAAAATCCAAAAACGCATTAACCGGTACTGAAATTCCAACAAGGCTGTACCTTTTCTCATATGACAGCCTCTTTGGGTATTTTGAAGAGTGTGAATGTGTCTCTCCTGCGTCCTTTTTCAGGCTAAAGACGCACAATAACTTCTCATTCCAGACGTCTGACCCTCTTGGATGCAATCCCCTGAATCTGTTCCAAGTTTGTCTGCATTTGTCTTAATGCAACTGGACACAGCATTCTAAATGTGTTCTGTCTAGTGTGGAGTGGAGCAGAGCTGGTAGTTGTTATGGTAGCATAGTATGTTTTTGGGAATTCATGCTAAAATTCCAGTCATCTGTCAGTTGCATACGTTACAGCGTAGGATGAAACAATAAGGAAACTTTTTTTTAAAAAAGAGATTAAACTTAGATTTTTTTAAAAAGGAGATTGCAACACAGAATTAAGTAGAAGGGCAGGAGCGGGGACACTGCCCAATGAACTAAAAGCCCAGGACAACACAAATGTTTCCACCTGGGCTGTATCCATACACTATCATTGCACCATAGCAATCATTTGCAATCAGACTGGCTCGTCCGCACAGGAGAATCCAGCTGCTAATGACTGTCGTAGTACAATATCCAGTGATGTGTGAATTCAGGCAGTTCGGTGCCAGGTGAGGAGAAGGAATTCCCTGATCTAGTTGAAGTAACAAAAAAGACCCTGGGTTGGATCTAGACTGAAAGCCAGACTAGTTGTTCACTTTTTAAAAAGAGTTGGTTCCAGATTCCATGCAGCTGCACAGCAACTGCAGGGAATGTCTATTAAAAAATAAAACAGAACCCACAGGGGGAGGAAGAGCTCCTGCTTTTACCCCCTTGCTGTTTCCGCATGCCCAAACATGGCTGCAAGGGAGTTATTTCCCCATTTTTGCTGGTCCGTATGGAGTATTCTGTGCATGTGGAGCAGCCAAAATGAGGAAAGAACTCCCAGCACAGGAAAATGACTTGGGGGGGGGGAGGCAGGAGGCATCCCCCCCCCCCCCATGGTGGCATTCCAAGCCTAAATAGGCTCTGCTTTATTTTTAATAGCCTTTCCCGGCAGTTATTTTGTAGGTCTTTTAAAAAGCAGTTGTCTAGTTTGGCTCCAGCTCGGCCATTTCCACTGGTTGTCCCTTCCTGCTGCAGAGTCCCCCTCATCTCATTCCTCAGGGTGCCCCCAAGAGCAGCATTTTGTGTAGGTCAGTGGTGGGGAGGCAACAGAGGCTTTATTCTGCCATTGGAAGGATCCAGTCTGGGTCCAACCCCCCTGTCTCTGGGATTCAGCCACCTTTCCTGTGATGACGCACAGAACAGGGCCTCTGAAACAGATCTTAACCATCAGGCGGGTTCATATGGGAGCAGGCAGTCGTTCGAGTTAAAAATGGTATTTCTCGTTTTTTCCAATGTGTGTTGGGCCTGGAGCAATGACTTAATCCACATGTGTGATTGTGAAAGCAGCAAAGAGAGAAGGCATAAATAAAGGATGCTACCTGATGAATGTGTCCTCGTTCTCTTGTTTATTCCCTCCCAGGTAAGGCGTTCTATGAGCCACACAGGTGTAGTCTCCTCAGACAGGTAAGCAGCCGGGGAGGGAGGAGAGAAGCTGGATGAGACTTCCTGTGGCATTTTTTAGAATGATTTCTTTAAGCGTCGAAACCGATGTGGGGAGGGGGATCAGTTTCAGGAAGCAGCATTGGGGAGGGGGTGTGGTACGTCCCCGTCCCCCCACGGGTAAATAACTAGTGTTGCCAAGTTGAGTTCTCCTGGACTTACAGCCGATTGCCATGCTACAGAAATCTATTCCCCTAGGGCAAGCGACAGCTTTGGAGGGTGGACTCTATGGTGTCGCATCCTTGCTGAGCCCCTTCCCCTCGCCACACTGCCAGGCACTGCCCCCAAATCTCCAGGAATTTCCCAAACAGGACTTGGCTGCAGCCCTACAAATAAAATTTAGGGTGAACGATTTAGGCCGGGGCCCGGGGACATGGCATGGAGGTAAGATATAAATAAGCACCCTTGCTCTCTGCACCACTTTCCTGTCCCCCTCTGGGCTGGTGCTTTGACTTCTCAGGCAAAACTGAAGCGATTCCCGATGCAATCCTAAGCAGAGTTCTACCCTTCTAAACCCATCAACATCAGTGGAAGAGGAGAACTCTGCTTCGGTTTGCACTATCAGTCCTGGATTGTATCTTGTTTGACCCTTGCTGCCAATAGTCTGATTGCCCCCCATTCTAAATCGGTAGAAAACTTGTTGTTTGGTGTAGTGGTTAAGAGTGGCGGACTCTAATCTGAGAGAACCGGGGTTTGATTCCTCACTCTTCCTCCACATGCAGCCAGCTGGGTGATCTTGGGTCAGTCACAGCTCTGTCAGAGCAGTTTCTGTCAGAGCTCCTTCAGCCCCACCTACCTCACAGGGTGTCTGTTGTGGGGAGGGGAAGGGAAGGGAGATTGTAAGAGGCTCTGAGACTCCGAGTGATGCAGTCCTCCTTTGAATTCCGATTTCTGTTTTGCCAGGCTAAGGGCAGGGTCATTTGCATTTTTTAAAATTCTGCACTGAGGTTTGACTGAAATGTGGTGCAACAATTAGATGAATTCTGCGCCATGTATAGTTTATGCAAGTTAAACATATATTTGATGTAATGATATTCTGCTTCTCTTAGCTGGAAGGGGCAAGGAGTGATGTGAAGCACCCCCTGATCACTGGAAAACATCACTGAGCTACCTTTGGCTTCTGAGTTGGGGGGGGGGGCTTTGCCACACACTTCCAAGCTATCTTTACAACCCGAAGAGCTGGAAATTTGTTTGTGCGTCTCTTTAAAAAAAACCCACAGAAACTTGAGATTCACAGCTGAATTTTGCTACCACATTGTGTAGGGTTTCTCCCCCCCCCTCCACCTGGGCATATTTTGTGGAACCTGACTCAAAGTACTCTTGAGGCCAGAACTTTACATTGTGTTCGGAATCTGTGCTTTGATCTTGCAATATGTAGTTTAATAAACTTAAAAAGCAGCCCAATAGGGGAGTCAGGTCAGGGCAAGTGGAATAGGGATCAGTCAGTGAGCCAGTTTGGTGTAGTGGTTAAGTGCACGGACTCTAATCTGGGAGAACCGGGTTTGATTCACCACTTGCAGCTGCTGGATGACCTTGGGCAAGCCACAGTTCTTACAGGAGCTGTCCTTGAAGGGGCAGTTCTTGAAAGAGCTCTCTCAGCCCCACCTACCTCACAGGGTGTCTGTTGTGGGGAGGGAAAGGGAAAGGAGTTTGTAAACCGCTCTGAGACGCTGAGTGAAGGGCGGGGTATAAATCCAGTCTCTTCTTCTTCTTCATGGTAGAATTGGGATTTGAACTCCAGTCTCCTAAGTCTTGATCCAATATTCTGACTGTTATACAGTAGATGTAAATACTATGTTTCATACCTAAATAACTTGCTGATGGATTGAGCTAATAGTTTCTTTAAGCAGTCACTTCTTGACCTTTTGCCTTTCCAGAAGCAAAAAAGGAGAGAGAGTCCCAGATTGAAATCTGCTCTTTAGGAAGGTTATGATGATGATCACTTGGCGAGGGCACTGGATACTGAAACAGGCTAAGAGGCTAAAGTTCCCATCCTGCCATGACTTCTAGTTGAGCTGGTACTGTAAGGCTAAGACACTGTGCTGGAAAATCTCACTTTCAAACTTTTGCTGTGCCACAGGTTTACATAGGTGGCCTTAAGAGCAAATCATGATTTCTCATCCTCAAAACCCAGCCACCAGCCGTATGGGTATAGTATAGTCCTACCTTGTAGGGGTGATGTAGGAATTATTGAGCTGATATAGCAGAAGGACCAAGAATACTCTAAAACAGCTACAGAAATACTACATCCCAAACCTGAAGTCACATAATACCCACAGAAGCCACACAATAGTTTTTATTAGAACCTTTCAAATGACACAGGCGTTTGAGCTTTCCAGAACTCTTCACCAGGCAGGATATTTAAAGAGGGGGAAGTATGGGATGTTTCAGTTCATGATCTTAAGGCCTTGCCTTTCCAGCATCCTTGTGTGAAATGCTGAGCCAGGTCATGGCCAATTTGAAACGGTGCTTGTTGTCAGCTGCCCCCCTTGGGCTTCTGGGGGAAAAGAGACCAAAGATGGAGGCATCCCACTGCAAGTACAAAACCCAGCAGTCGACTGCTGGAACACCCAAGTCCCCCAGATGGCTGAGAGCTGTGGGGAAACGTGGTAATCAACGGATCACCAAGACTGAAGATAAACTTTAGGCAGTATACGAAGCACAGAGTCCATGGGAGCCAAATTGGGCAGAATTCCCTTGTGCCGTGGGTGCATTTGCCTTTATTTCTCCCACTTTTCTTCCCAGTTGGGACTCAGAGTGGCTTAGGAGATATCATTCTCCCCTCCTCCATTCCTTCACATCACCTTGTGAGGTAGGCCAGGCTGAGAGTTTTTGATGGGCCCAGGGTCCCCCAGCAAGCTTCCATAGTGGATGTGGGGATTCAAACCCAGGTCTCCCAGGATCCTAGTCCAGCACTGTATCCACTATGCCATGCTGACTTCCGTAAGAACATTTCCCCCCCAGGTTCTTTCCCTCCCTTGACAAATCCTCCTCTTTGTCCTCCACTTCCATGTTGTTCTTTCTTGCCTCCCCTTTGCAGAGCTCCGGAGCCGGCTCGGATCCCTCCCAGGGGCACCGTGACAGTTCTGCGCAACCTGGAGGAGATGGTGATGCTCCGCTCGCAGCAGTGGGGGCAGCAGAACTGCTGGTCAGAAAGCCCCACCGGCACCATCGTTGAAGAAGCAGCTGGTAGGGGATGCCAAGAGTCAACGGTGTGAGGTCTCATGGGAGGGGAAGCGTGGCCAGTAGGGAGGGCTGCTGGCTCACCCCCGTTCTCTCTGTCCAGTGGGAAGTCCGTGGGAGGGGCCCTTCTGTGGGCCTCACGCCTGGAGGTTTAGCTAGTTAGCTTGCGTGTTTCCTTTCAGTCCCATTTGGGGGCCCCAAGGCAGCTCCACAACAGGTTTGAAATATTTTAAAACAGTGTAAAATATTTCAAAACAGCAAGAGGGGGGTGCAATAAAAACACAGTAGGAAAAAAAGGTGTGTGCCCTGGCTCTGAGCCAGCATGACAGGCAGCGGCTCAATATGATGAACTTCCCCCCCCCCTTCTGCCTGCCTACCTGCCTGCAAGGGCCTGCCTGCGACAAGACTCAAAAGGGATTGTGAAGTGGGGAGCTGCTGCTGGGGATGTAGTGCTGGTGGTGAAGTAGTTCCCCATCCCCCCCCCCCAGATCCTTTTGCCAATGCAAACACCCCACCTTTTATCTAGAATTGTTTAGATCATGGGGGGTGTGGGGTGTGGAATAGGACGCTGTAATGAAAAGGATTAGAGAGTTGTGTGCCTTTTGGAAAGACATGACCAAAGCCGTTTTGACAGAGAACGTGCCAGGGACTGGGAAGGTTTGGAAAGAGGACAGTTAGAGGACCATATTTGTGTAGGTGCTCCCCAAAAAACCTGCTGCAGTTTGGAAGCCAAGGCACAGGAAAAACCTCCATGTGGATCCCACGAGCAACAATTTACTTTTCAAACCGTATGTCCGTCTCCAGCCTTTCTGTCCTTGGCTGTGATGTCGGTGTGCTACTCGTCCTTGATCCTGGGCAGCTTTGTATGGTTAGATTTCCTATTTTTGTGGAGCGTGGCCTACCTTGGAGGCAGGCTATTGAAAGGAGCTGTGAAGAACCCCCTGCTTCAAACCGGAAACTGCTAATTGGCTTCTTCTTCCTTTCCACCGCAGATGCCCCATCACCAACACAAGACTCTCAAGCGGATTCAGCCGGCAGAGACCGGCGAGTGTAACCTGGACTCTGGTGCCGCTTCAGCAGTTTCTGGACCGTTTGGAGCCATCACTGCTAGCTAGCTAGCTAGAACAGTTGGCCCCAGGTTCCTTCCTCTAGTTTAGGACCAGCCTGGGCCCGACGGGGCGTGTGGCCTGTGAGGCTGGCAGGCGTGATGGGCAGGGAGTAGGTGCCAAGATCCGTTCCATTCCTCTGTCTTGTGGTTGCCGAGCGTTCTCAGCTGCCAGGTCTGTTGTTGGGCATCTCCAGGCAATCCCCCCGGCAAGAAGGGTTGGATGGAGGCAGGAGGTTAGGGTAGCGGCTGAAGCCTGTGTTGGATGGGATGGCAGAGGAGAGGTGGCCTGGGGGGGGGGGAGCACTGGATGCTCAGAAGGGAGCTTCCAGCCAAGTTGGCCGGTGAGCCTGCCGTGGCCGTCCGGCATCCTTGGGCTTTCGTCAGTCATTCTTTTCAGTCACCATTTGAGCTGAAGACTGGGCGGCTCGTGGTCGGGGGGGTACCTTCAGGGCACCTCCTCAGGCTAAGATCCATAACAGAGTCCAGTCTTAGCACTGCTGTCCTCCTTGCTGATTTGGGAGGTGCTTTACTAACCTGACGACCGGAAGGCCCAGTTCTTCAGACAGGAAGTTGCTCTAGTTGTATTCTCCAACAAGGATGGCCTCCCTGTGTACGTGCTTCCTTCTTCTGAAAGCTCATCTTCTCTCCTACAGCTCCGCCCCCCAGCCCAATCTGCTTTGTTACGGAGGTTGTGGTGCGGGACATAGAGTGCCTGCTACACTGTCCCTGCCTTCTATTCAGCCCTATGCCGAGGCAGTGCATAGCCAGTGCTTGATTTAGAAAGAGACACCTCTTGGGACATCTGACCTGCACAACAACATTTGGCTCCTCCCACCTGCACAGCACAGAGGGCAGGGGGATCGAACCCCACCCCAGATACGAAATAACTCCCCTCTCCCGACTCCTTCAGGTTTGTGTGACTTTTTGTGTCTCGTGGCACCGTCTTTTTTTTTTTTTTTCTACAGCAGCATGGCGGGATCTCGAGCGGTTGTGTGTGTGTGTCTCTCTCTCTCTGGAGCCCATTCATGCAGAGAGATCTCTGCCAAAGATCAGACTCTAATTTTGAATGAAGACTCTAATTTTGAAACAAACACGGCGTCACGACTATATGTTGGCGTCTCTCTTGGGGGGGGGGGAGAGATGGTACCGTCGGGACTTTCAGGGAGAAGCAGAGGCCAAAACAAAGCAGCCATCTGATTTGAGGCTGCCTGGAACAGCTGTTGCGTGTGAGGTGATCAACAGCTCCTTGCCTGCTGCTCAGAAGCACCCCGTGCATGCACACCTGTGTAACGTCCTTGCCTGCAGTCACCAACAGGGGCTTGTGCTTTCCTAAACCGCCACTAAAGGTAACACAGAACCAGGACACAGGTGACTCATAATGGCAACGACGTAGCAGGAAGCAGCCGGAGCTATTTCTGGCTCTCCTCTCACACTGTGCTTTCGTGCCTCTCCTGCGTGGCTTGCATTTAATTTCTTTATTGGGTACTTTAAATAATTGAGTGTGCAAGCGCTGGGCTTTTACAGCAGCTCAAGCTGTTGGCAGTTTTCTGAGCAAAGGCAAGACCACTGCTGCTGCCGCCGCCACCACCACCACCCAAAACAAAGCATGACACACATTCCTTTCCCTTGGGCATCGAGGAAGGGCGAGATTGGAGGGCTGGCACTCCGCTCCAAACACATTAGCACTCACAACAAAACACCACGGGCGGTCCTGCAATACTTAAAAGGGCATGCAGTGGGGGGATGTACATGTCAAACCAGCTGAAATGGGGGAAGCCCTGTTACTGGAGCGCCGCAGAAATCAAGTGTGCCTTGCTAAATGTGGGTGCAAAAACCCTAAACAGAATTCAACAGCAGAAGAAAGGTTTTTCCTTTTAAAACGATAGGTTTTAGAATTCTATTCAGTAACAGTGGAAGAGTGAGAAGAATGGAAAAAATTAACAGGAAGAATCTAGAACACAGTTTATCAAATGAATACAGGCAAACGTAGACTCTACTTTGGTTGCCAGAAATCAAGAAGAGGATGCCAGATAGATGGGGAAAGTAGATTTATGCTTTCTCTCTGTGTGTAAAGTGCCATCAAGTCTCAGCTGACTTATGACAACCCCAGCCAAGGGGCTTTCAAGGCAAGAGAGAAGTAGAGGTGGTTGTTCATTGCCTTCCTCTGTAGAGTCTTCCTTGGTGGTCTACCTTCCAAGTACTGACCCTGCTTCGCTTCTGAGATCTGATGCTTTGTACTATCTTTCAAACAACTTTTCAGTTTTCCAGACTTTAAGCCAAGTTTTAATATTCAGATTTTCAGTGGGCTTCCAATTCTTTCCTATAAGGAGAAACTCTAACCCTAACCCCACTTTTCTCTACCTGAAGGAGTCTCAGAGCAGCTTACAATTGCCTTCCCTTCCTCCCCCCACAACAGACACTCTGTGAAGTAGGTGGGGCTGAGACAGCTCTGAGAGAACTGTGACTGACCCAAGGTCACCCAGCTGGCTTCATGTGGAGGAGGAGTGGGGAATCAAACCCAGTTCTTCAGATTAGAGTCCGCCACTTTTAACCACTACACCACACTGGTTCTCTTAGCTGCCAAAGTTATTTAAGTGCTCATTTTTCACGAAAATTGTGACTAAAACCTAAAATAATGTCTTTGGGAGATATTGCAAGTCTAAGATCCAACATAGATGAATTTTGTTAATTACAATATCCCAGAATTTGTGTTTTATTTTTATTATTAGGATAATTTCTGTTCCACCTTTCGCTAAAATTATACCCTGGTGGCTCATGTTAAAGTACCAAATGCAGTCATAAATACAGAAATACATATTTTAAAAGGGACTAAAACCAGGAATGTTGCAGCCTGGTAGTCCAGCCTAGCTTGATCTTGTCAGAGCTTGGAGGCTATGCATGGTCAGCTATGGTTAGTATTAGGACAGGAGTCCACCAAGGAAGACTGGGACTTCTATGCAGAGGAAGGCAATGGCAAGCCACCCTTGCTCACAATTATTATTAAAACCAGGAAACAGGATTTCTGTTAGGGTTGTCAGCTCTGGGTTGGAAAATACCTGGAGACTTTGGGGGTGGATCCAGGAGAGGGCGGGGTTTGGGGAGGGGAGGGGCCTCAGCATAGTACAGTGCCATGGAGTCCACCCTTCAAAGCAGCCATTTTCTCCAGGGGAGCTGATCTCTGTCAGCTGGAGATCAGTTGTAAAAGCGGGGGATCGCCAGGCCCCACCTGGAGGCTGGCAACCCTCATTTCTGCTCAAAGGTGCTTTTGAGTAGAAAGACTGATGGGGAAAGGTCTTCAGTAAGAGGGCTAAATGCAATTCCCGGGGAAGAGTTCCGAAGTCAAGCTGGGAAGACTTTTGTGTGGATCTTAACTAACCATGCCAGTTGCAGTGTGGGTTTCCATAGCCTTGCTCCCTCAGATGGTCACTGAACACATATATGGGTGGAGGTTTTGGACTGCAACCATTTGGGCTTTAGAGGTCAAACAAGCGTTTTGCGTTAGGCCAGCAGCAAATTGAGAACCGATCTGGTAGGTACAAGATTGAGGTTACACACGGGGAATTCAATGCCCTCCAGACCAGGCAGTACCTGTATTCCCGTATCCGCTTCATCCCCCACCCACAGCACTTCCATGTTTTCCAGATTAAGTTTGTTCAACCTCATCCACTCTTTTGCTGCCTCTAAGCACTGCTTCAGTACTGCCAGGACCTCTCTGAAGTTAGGTGGAAAGGACAGGCAGAGTTGCCATCATCGCTACGTGGGTGACACTTTTCCTGCAGGCTTCCAGGTGATCTCTTCCAGCATGTATGTGTGAGGCAGGATGGGGGACAAGATGGAGCCTCGAGGGACCCCACAGGCCAGTAGCCAGGGAGCAGGACCACAGTGCCTCAGCATCAACCTCTGAGACTTTCCCTTCAAGAGAGGCCAGAACTACATCATTATTCCCACCAAGATGATGTCCTACTAGATGATCCAGAAGGATACCACGGTTGATGGTACCAAATGCCCGAAAAGCCCTGGAGAAGCAGCAGGGATGCACTCCCAACAGTCGACCACTATGGGACCATCTGTTGGTGTGACCAAGGTGGCTTCTGTGCCATGACAAGGACAGAAGCCAGATTGATTGATGTGAATCTTGATAACAGGTCTCATCCAGAAATACCTGAATGCTGAGAAGCCAGTACCTTACTTAGGAATAGCAAATAATATATCTAGCAGGGCTTCAAGGTTTAATCTCTAATCAAATAAGCTCTACTTGGATGATCAGTGGGGGGAAGCTGTAGTTGGTGGAGCTGAGAGTTAAAGATATACTTGAAGACTGGTCTGTAGTTTTTTAGGCTATTTTTGAAATTTTGGTCAAAGTTATTCACAATACATTAGTCCAGTAATTCTATACAACAAAAAAGCAAAGCAGATTGGTATCTTTACTCCATATTTGGAGGGAAGGGCGGGTGTGCTTTTCCTACTGAGTTCTTGATGGCAAAGTTGAACTAGGAAGTTCCTGCATCCAAGCTCAGTCTTCTTAGCGCTATTTGTTTAAAACATTTATAGGGTACTTAAAAAGAGACCAGTTAAACTGGATCATCCCACCTAACAATGAGGTGGGTTTTGGCTAGGTTACTTCCTTCTGTATCTTGGAAAGGTATGTATGCTGTGGCTCTGGTAATATGCAGATTTGTTTCTTCTCGATAGATCAGTTACTTAAGTTAAAAGGTAGGACTTTATCAACAAAAAAAACCTGGGTTTGATTCCCCACTCCTCCACATACAGCCAGCTGGGTGACCTTGGATCAGTCACAATTCTCCCAGAGCTGTTCTCTCAAGAGCAGTCCTCGAAAGAGCTCTCTCAGCCCCACCTACCTCACGGCATCTATTGTGGGTAGAGGAAAGGAAGGTGATTGTAAGCTGTGCTGAGACTCCTTCGGTTAGTGAAGTTGTTGTTCAGTCGCACAGTCGAGTCCGACTCTTTGCGACCCCATGGACCAGATCACTCCAGGCCAGATCAGTGAAGGGCGGGATATAAAACCAACTTGAAGAATGGGGATTGCATAGTTTGCTACTAACATCTTCCATTGATTTCACTGGGACATCTACTTCTGAGGGTGAAACAAGACATGCCATTGCATATCCTCAAATGACCTTTGATCACACATACCTCATGCTATACATGTAATACATGGGCTGTTGAACCCCACTGGTTTCAATGGATCTTGCTCCCATCCAAGAGCACATATCGTCACAATTGGCTTTAGCAGTATC